TGCAACCTGGAATGAATAAACTGGGATTTGAGGCAGATATATGTCTGATCTCTGCTCACCAGTTGGTAACCCAGCTGCAAGGTGCATTTATTTTATAAATGGGTGAAGTGACATTTTCAAATGCCTAGCTGTGCTAGTTCATCTTAAGCCCTGTAAATATCTTTTGGTTTTCATTGTACTTGTCCTAGACCTATGTAGTTTAGTGGAATCTAGTGTAAGTCCATTCAAAGTCATGATCTAACCGTATTTGGTAAGGCTATGAAAAACTGATAAATTAGTTTCACCAAACATGACTTGTAATTACTTGTTGTACAAGTAACTATACATACTCTTAACCCCATGAGGGTGGGGACCATGGTGCCTCATTCCTGGGAGAATCCTCAGAACTTAGCTGTCTTATTTGTTCATTTGACTATTAATTGACTTTTTAAAAGTAGAACCTCCCAACATATCCTTCCATGAGACTTCTGTTATAGAGATAACTAATAATTAATATGTAAATTATTGTTTTTTAGACCTGAAACTATTACAAGATGGCTCTCCTTGGACTCTTCTCTTTGCTGGTTCTGCAAAGTATGACTGTAGGGGCCACTTTCCCTGAGGAAGCCATTGCTGACTTGTCAGTGAATATGTATAATCGTCTTAGAGCCACTGGTGAAGATGAAAATATTATCTTCTCTCCATTGAGTATTGCTCTTGCAATGGGAATGATGGAACTTGGGGCCCAAGGGTCTACCCAGAAAGAAATCCGCCACTCAATGGGATATGACAGCCTGAAAAATGGTAAGAATGATCAGGTTTGATTTCTCAAGACATTTGAATTTGACTTTAACTCAGTTATGTTGTCTTCTTATTCCAGATGCAGCAATATTTACACAGGGTAAAAAATAATCTCATTGAAATGGTACGCCTAGAAGGATTAGGAAACCCAAGAAATGTGCTAATTCCTGGTTCCATTTCTGGCTGAATGAATCTCAGGAAATTACATCTTTTAAAAATTATTATGATTTACATAAACTCATTGTGATTTAAAAAAGCAAGCATTATTCTGGAGTTTTCAGTCTAGAAGGAGAGGCACCTATTTATCACACAAATAAATGAAAAATTACAAATATGATGAGTACTACAAAGAAAGACAGCATAGTTTGCTAAAAATATCAGAAATTTTTGCTTAAAATCAGCAGTATCCTTTTGTTTAAATAGCATCCAAGATTTTTTTTGAAGTGTTATCTTATTATAAAAATTCTATGTATTGGGGGAAATTTCTAGCCTAATGGTATTTTGTAATCACTTTGACATGATGTTTGATTTCTGTTTTAATGCTCTGATATACATGTGAATTAGCACATTAAAAAGTTAAAAATTAAAACAATTTCTAATGGCTTTTCTAGTTTTAAAATTAAAAGGTTTACTGAGTAAAATGTAAAGGATGATCTTGAATTATAAACTAGATATTTGTTTCTAATAGTATAAAGGAAGTCTAATTTAATCAAAGTAACCTAGTAATTTGAAAGAAAACAATCCCTGTAGATTGTAGCAAAATAACAATGAAATAAAAAATAATATCAGTAGATGATATTAACTTGCAACAAGTTAATTTGAACATCTAGAAATAGTACAAGTATTGGACCATATTAATGTGGGGGAAAGCCTGACACTTTTCCCCTGGGTGCCTGTTTGGTTAATCTCCCTTGCTGTGCTTTAATGCTCCTTCACTCTCCTTGACCTTTCACCATGTTTGTTCTGCAAATAAACTTATCCTTTCTCATCTTTCAGGTGAAGAATTTTCTTTCTTGAAGGAGTTTTCTAACATGATAACTGCTAAAGAGAGCCAGTATGTGATGAAAATTGCCAATTCCTTGTTTGTGCAAAATGGATTTCATATCAATGAGGAGTTTTTGCAAATGATGAAAAAATATTTTAATGCGGAAGTAAATCATGTGGA